TATTTATTTATTAGACTGAAATGGTTGGTAAAACATTGGCTCGAAGCTAAACGATTCGAACTTTATAAAATGGTACATATAAAGTATTTCTTTGTAGCTGGCTCACATATTTTAATTATCTAGTAAATATTTATGAATTGATGAATAAAATTGCTTACGTATTTATTTCTTTATAAATTACATTAATTTTAATACAACTGTATTAATTTCTAGAATGTTGTAAATATAAAATTATCCTTGTAAATAAATAATCTAATAAACAACACACCGTTTTTTGTTGCTGGAACGAAGGTTAAAGATCACTATAAATAACTTGTATATTTTTGAGGTGCTGAAACAAATGAAAAAAAAAAAAAAACGAATATTACAAATTAAAATTGTTGCTATGATAAATTTTTGATCAAATATCTAATATGTAGAGATTTTATTTTCTTTTTCTGATAGTAAAAAAACTTCAAAATGACATCGATATTCTCGTTTTTTCTTTAAAAAGATTTTGCGATATTTATTAATCTTCGTTTAGTCCTGCACAATTTCAGATTTATTCAATGTATATTTTAAATGAGTATCTTTACTTTCATAAAGTACGTCACAAAGAATTGTTGGAACTGTTAAGTACCCTTGACATATTTGGGAAGGATTTTAGAATGATAGAATATAAGAATAATCGAATAAAAGAATATTAGAATAAATTAGAACTTATACTGGGAGCAAACCACCTGAATACGGATAGAAAATGAATTCAGTAAATATACAAAAATAGAAAAGAGGATGTTATTGGACCTTACCCATAATAACATAATGGACTATTTCATACGTAATAAATACAGCGCCTAAAGAGGAAGAAGAGAGTTCAGCCCGAAGTCGGACGACCGGCTGATCGGTTGAACTCTCTGCCTTCGGGCAGGAAGGAACCCGAACGAGGCTACGCCGAAGGGCGGAGTCTGTTTCGGGGAGGTAAACCGACCCTGAACCTGTTTATACGGGTTCAAAGGGCATATTTTTGGCCGAGCCCATGGGCTCGGAGATCCCACGTTAAACCGGCCTTGTGCCACATGATGCCCTCGTGGAGTGGGGGGTGACTAAATATAGTTCAGTCCGAAGTCGATTGAACTCTCTGCCTTCAGGCGGGGAGGAACCCGAACGAGGCTAAGCCGAAGGGCGGAGTCTCTTTCGGGGAGGTAAACCGACTCTGAACCCATTTATACGCGTTCAAAGGGCATATTTTTTGCCGAGCCCACTGTCTCGGAGATCCCACGGCCTCGGAGATCCCACGTTAAACCGGCCTTGTGCCACATGATTTCCTGGTGGTGGAGTGACTAAATACTGTTCAGTCTGAAGTCGGACGACCGGCTGACCGGCTGATCGGTTGAACTCACTGCCTTCGGGCAGGAAAGAACCCGAACGAGGCTACGCCGAAGGGCGGAGTCTCTTTCGGGAGGCAAATACCGACCCTGAACCCGTTTATACGGGTTCAAAGGGCATATTTTTTGCCGAGCCCACGGGCTCGGAGATCCCACGGGCTCGGAGATCCCACGGGCTCAGAGATCTCACATTAAACCGGCCTTGTGCCACATGATACCCTCGAGGTGTGTGTGTGTGTGGGGGGGGGTTGACTAAATACCGTTCAGTCTGAAGTCTGGAGTGAGGTCCGTCAGAAGTCCGTCAAAAGTCTGTCAGTCAGTCAGAGCGAGCGAATCAGTCAGTCGAGTCAGAGGCAATCGCGTTCAGACAATTACTACAAGACATTGGAATAGTGATACTGGTGTTATTCCATATCCGTGTTCGAGTTCTTCTTTATTGGTTCTACCTTGGACCATCACCTTGGTACAAGGACCTGGACCATAACAGAGTATAAGACAAGGATGTGCCTTCTCGACAGACACATTCAAACTTTACAGTGAGGCAATTTTAACAGAATTAGATGTCCTACCAGGAGTCATTATTGGCAGTCACAATCTTAACAACATAAGATAGGCAAGTGACACAGTATTGATAGCAAGACATAAAAAGGAAATTACAAGAAATCCTACGGAAGGTAGTGAAGGAAAGCGAGAATAAAGAACTAAACCAATTGCAGAAAGCTAGAATACATGTTTGTAAGCAAAAGGAATAGCAAATAATACAAATCACAATTTGGTGATATCAAAATCAAACTAGCACAACAATTTAAATATCTGGGAAGTATTTTAACTGTTATGGATTCCGGGATTGTTGTGGTAGGATCCACCTAATTTGCATAGTGGAGTACCCACCATATAAATATGGTTGGTACCGGGAAGAGAGGGAGGAATCAAGAAATTCAACCAGAGACTCTGCCCGACTGCGACTCAGTCAACACATTCTCCAGGAACGGTCTTACCAGGAATATACAAAAGACTATATGTAAATATTGTGTACACTTTCTTGTTTCAATACATTTTGTTCTAAGTACATTTTGTGTTGCATTATTATTCCATGCATTAGTCAAGTTTCAACAGGGATGGAATCCGGTCTCAAATGAATGACAAACGGAGGAATGAAATATAGCAAATAAATGTATTGACGTAATAATACAATTGGTAATACGGTTAGTAGATCCAGAAACACGGTTAGTAGCAATAATAATATATATATACAGTCTGGGAAATTCAGTATCGAAGTAGAACTTCCTTCTGAGTCTACGTGCTCGCAACTGTGACTCCTACAAAGCGATTACCTCACACTCTCACTGTTCACTGTATCACTCTATCAGTATATCTCTCGTCTAACATCCGGGTATTCACTGGTAGCAGTACAAGTACACACTGGTAGAGTCCACTTGTATGAAAAAGAGGTGGACCCCATAACATTAACAAAGGACAGAAAGTGTGGCAGTGAAACCAGTAGTTGCATTAAGATAGTGAAAGATGCCTTCCAAAAGCTAAGCAAGGTATTAAGAAACAGGAAAATTTCGTTAGAAACAAATAAGAGAGTTATGAAGTATTACGTAATATCAGTCCTCCTATATGACAGTGAATGCTGCACAATCTCCTCACAGATGAAGAAGAGACTTGAACCAATAGAATTGTAGTTCTAGAGAAGGATGCTGAAAATAACACGGACTGAACATACGAACAACAACGAAGTTTGAGAAAAATGAAAACCAAAAATGCTCTTATGCTTAACATTAGAAACAGACAGTTGTAATTTCAAGGGCACGTAGTGAAGAAAGGGGTTTAGAAAATTTGATACTCACAGGACATTGAAGGCAAGAGGGGCAGAGTGAAACTACATAACCTACCTATCTTGGGTAAATGAATATCAGAATAGGGTTTAGGAGAAATGACAAAAAGACAATATTTAGTAAGTGCTACAAAAGACAGGAAATCGTGGTGGGCTATGATCGCTAACGTCCTGAAGAGACACGGCAATTTACTTTTGTTGAAGACTGGGTAACACATCGGCGTCTTGGAAAGAAAAAGCTAGATTTGAGGATGTGAAAAATTAATGAAATAAGGACAATGATTATTTGAGAAATTTCAGAAATAATTCAAAAGCTTTCTTGAGGCTGTGCTAACTTATTTCAGGCATGATAAAAAACGATATCTCTTTAAAAAAAAAAGTTTCTCTTAGAAATCTTTCACTTAAAAATGTTTTTAAAAAATCTCTATCAAATGTTCTTAAAATATCCATTTTAAATAACCCCTCTCTTAAAAATGTCTCTCTTAAAAATCTTTCTCTTAAAAAAAAAACTCTCTTAAAAGTCTCTCTTTAATGAATACCACTTCAAAAGTCTCCCTTTAAAAAAAAATCTGTCCCTTAAAATGTATCTCTTAAAAAGTCTCTATCAACGTACAGTTATACACTGAACACGTTTAAGGGCGATTTATGACAGATTCTTACAGGGTTCAGATCTATATAATGACAATGGTGATATTTTGCCACTATATACCAATAATGATAATAAATAAAGTAGCCATTTTGTTTTCACTACCTGTTAATTGGTGTTTGATAAAAGCTAGGATTTCGAATGTTGATATTTAAGTTGGATAAGCCGCTTCAAATTAGAAGGTTGGCCATACAGTAGTAAACAGCAGAAATAGGATTTGCACACCAGACCAAGGAAGACAGCGTAGGATTGGTCTTGGGTTATCCCGGCAGACGAATGGGGAAGTACGTAACCTTACAGCTACATCCAATCTTGTAGGCGTGGAAACTAGATACGCTAGAGTTTATCTTACATATTTATAAGTCTACCATTCGTCCATGCTTCGAATATTGCTGTCACATCTGCTCTGGTTCTTCTGTTATATATTTACAGATTCTTAATAAAATAAGAATATGTAATGTTATTGGTTCTGTCCTGGCATCTTGGTTTCAGTCACTTTCCCACGGCCAAGGCGTAGCTTCTTTGTGCCTTTTCTATAAATACTTTCATGGTAATTGTTCTGATGAACATTTCTTTATAGTACCTAGACTTTATGAATTTAAGCGCAGTACTTGATTGACGCCAAGGTCTAATCATTTTATAGTTGAAATGGCTAGATGCAACCTTAAGTTCTATGCTAATAGTTTCTTCTCCCGCTCTTCTTTCTCGTGGAACTCCCTTCCGGCTCCTTGCTTACCAGTCAGCTTTAATCATGAAAAAAATTTAAGTGCAATGTCAATCGTTATCTTCTGTCTTCTTAATTCCTGTTCTTATATTGTTCTTTCCCCTTAATAGTGTCTTTTCTCATATTCTCTCACAGTAACTTACATCTTAGTGGCTTTATTGCCTTGTTTGGGAGGAAATTATAAAAAAGCCCCCCCCCCCCAAAAAAAAACTAAAACAAACAAAAAATGACAGAGTATAATATATAAACAACCTCTCCAAAAAGGAGTTGGATAGTCTCTCGGACATTGCACACAGAATGTAAGGACCATATATCGGACTAGTATCAATGGGGCCATTCTCAAACACACACTGGCCGAGAGTAATTGATTAAGTATCGGGGTGTAATATATTCTAATGTTAAATATAAAACTTACTTAATTCTTAGTATCTATCTATCTATCTATCTATCTATCTATTGGTTGATTTGTATTTAGCTTGCCCAGTTCTTTCTTTCTTTCTTATGGTTTATTTGTTTTTAGTTAACCCAACTCTTTTATCTATCTATCTATCTATCTATCTATCTATCTATCTATCTATCTATCTATCTATCTATCTTTTGGTTGATTTGTCTTTAGTTTGCCCAGTTCTTTCTTTCTTTCTTTGGGTTTATTTGTTTTTAGTTAACCCAACTCTTTTATCTATCTATCTATCTATCTATCTATCTATCTATCTATCTATCTATCTATCTATCTATCTACTGAAAGATAAAATGACAAAGAGAAATTTCAATATGTCCGTTTTCTTTGGCTTACATACACTGATGTCTGTGTATACATTCATATTTCAGTGATGCAATTTACTGAAATTTGTGCTTATTGAAAATTTTACTTTAACAGCTCTCGGCCACTTTTTTCCCATGGCTTTCACCTGAATCCGGTAAAACTGGTTTTTCTTTTGCAAACTTTTTTTTTTTAGCATTTCGTCATCTTGGTTTAAAATAAGGTCGTTCGATGAAGTCATTGTCCCACGCATGCGAGCATAAGTACTGTTATCAGTACTCCCCCACCCTCCCCAGATTTTTCAGGGTGAGTAAGGTCACGATTTGGAAAATAATGATTCATTTCATGGTCACTTGAACACCGACAGTATTTTTTCACATAAAAAAAAAATTGAAAGAATCAGACGACAATAATTTGTGTTATTCTTTATTTAAAGATTTATTCAATTTCTCTTATTACTATTCTATTTTAAACAGATATTTATCTTCTTTAGAGGCTAACAATTCAATTAAAATATCTTTTATTTCTCAAACACGAATACTTATGGCGAACTTCATTTTACAGGGTTTTTTTTAAATATGAGTTATTGATATTTGATCATACAAACATAAGCCACTTCATTTTTTTCGTTTATTTATTGTTATGTTTAGTTACGAACCTAGAGAAAATTTCCTGTGGCCAGTGACCGCTCAGCTACGTAAAGCTTTCACGACAGATTCCCGAATGACCCAAATTGCAAACAGAGGTATGCTGACAGAGTTAAAAGCAAATATAATAATTGGAATGAAGCTGGAAATTCAAGCAGAACACATTAAGAGACTATCTAGTAACATTGGCGGACGAGATCATCACAAGAGAAAAAGGAATGGGTGACAGATTAAGTTCTCGACATAATGAAAAAGTGACAGCAAGCAATACCAAGGAAGAGAACATTAAATACAGAAATTATAAATGAATACAGGCAAGCAAAAGTTGAATAACGTGTACAGAGATAGAAAGAATGAGCATAATAGATAAAGCAAGTATCCAAAAAAAGAATAAAGAATTAGCAGAAAAAGATGTGCATAGCAACAGGATGAATAAAATCAAATGAATGAATGCTCAAGATAATGAAAGAAAAATGCTTCAAAGATTGAACAAATGTTTTGGAGAACACTTTAATGACGAGAGAGGAAAACCTACAACACATAAAAATATGGAAGGACCTGGAATATTAAAGTCTGTAGGAAGATTATAACTGGCCAAGATTAACAGGAACAAAGCAGTAGGATCAGATGGACATCGACAAGATCAGGAAAATAATAAATGAAATATATGACAGTGGTGATATGCATCTTCAGAGCGCTGCCTAAAAATCCATGCGCAAATGAACGCGAGCTCCATCAGACAATCAATGAGTCACATAACCAAGTTTATCCTTTAAAGGCAGCGTAGCGGAATTAAACTAGAAATAGGCCACTAATATTTGTTTTCTTTAAAGATACTAGAACAAGAAATGCGATATTTATTATCAGAATGATACCGGACAGTGTAATACAAATGCAGAAGAATGTATAAACATGTTTTACAGATTGCACAAAAGCATTTGATAAAGTACGGCACAAAGATCTATTTGAACTGCTAGGAAAACTTGATTTATTTGGGAAGGATGTTGGAATAATCTGACACTTATACTGGGAGCAAACTACCTGCATTTGGATAAAACTATGAATTGAGCAACTAAACAAAAATAGAAAGGGTCGTAAGACAAGGATGTATCTTCTCACCAGATATATTCAACCTTAACAGCGAGGCAATTCTAAGAGAATTAGAAGTCCTACCGGTGGGAACAATCTTGCCAACATAAGATATGCAAATGATACCGTGTTTATAGCAGACACAGAAAAGAAACTGTAGTAACTCCTAGAGAAGGTAGTAAAGGAAAACAGGATGAAAGGACTAACTATCAGCTGTAAGAAAACAGAGTACAGTTGTCAGCAAGCGGAGCAGCCCAAGATGGAAGTTAGTTCAGTTATATACCATGCGTGATACACGCTTAGGCTATCGCGTATCTTTAAATACATGGCTGACGAGGTATATTTTTTTCCCGTGGTAGGTTGCCATTTCTTTCTGTGTTAGATCAGTTACCATCTAAGGCTATAGAACCCTGTCTGTCCTGAGCATACCCATAGCTGGGGAATTTAGAAGATTCATAGGATAATAGCAAGTAAGTGTATGTAATGGATTCGACTGGAATTTGAACTCGGTTCTCCGGTTCCTCACTCCGAGCCGCTATCCATAACTGCCTCCTCAGGAATTATCTATGAATTATCTATGTCAAAATCGAACAAGTACAGGCGTTAAAATGTCTGGGGAGTGTTTTAATAAACGACGGAAAATTTGACACAGACACGGGTGAGGCTTAGAACTTTTTTGAACGACTATCCGTTGGTGCAATCGAATAGCAAAATATACTTTACATTCCAAAAACTAAAAACAAAAACGTAACAAGAAAAAGGAAAATATAGAAACAAAGAAAAGAGAGCTGAATCCATGTAATCAACCTACTCCTACATAGTAGTGAGAAAATCTTCACAGATGAAGAGGACACTTTAGGAAATAGAGATGTGGTTCTACAGAAGGATACTGAGAATAAAATTGGCAGAGTATGTAAGCAACGATGTAGTTTTAAGCTAAATGAAAACTTAAACGTGAATTTTACATATATTTTTATGCAGAACCACATAGCTCAGAATATTAGATAATAAATAATAAATTCTAATAATGGTATTAGCTTTGTGTGTGTGTGTGTGCACGCGCGTGCGTGTGTGTGTGTGTATGTGTGTGTGTTTGAGATACGCCACGTGGTTCATTGGAATAAAAATGTCTGTTCTCCTGGGGTCAAGAAGCCTCCTCGGAAAGGGAAACCAAGAAGCGATCTGCTGCTACCGCATCCTGTAACCAAGAGAGCAAAAAGAGGATAAGAGTTTATTTTCTTTCCATTTATACAGCTTTATACAATGCCACCTGTTAGGCGTTAAGAGATATGTAATTCTTCATCTTCATATATTTGCCATTGGTAAAGAAACTGCCTTCGACTTACAATTTCCTTCGATGAAGTAGAAATAGCAAAAGTCATCAATATTTAATGTTTAACAAATTTCCTAAAATTACCCCACCATTTTTCTGGTTTAAAGGAGATAAAAAAAATCAGAAAAAAGTCGAGGTAATACGAAAAAAATTGTTAAACATTCAAAATGCTTTTACTATTTTCTACTTTGCGCTCTTTACCAGCTGGATCTTTTTCGGCAAAGCGGGTGGTATTTATTCATAAAATCTCGTTGTATGTGGCAAAGGAATCACAATTTGAACGCTTCTGTATCGAACGCCTTCAAAAGCACTAATGAGCCCGCAATACCAACGCTCAAGATCAACATCAGGCAAGAAATTTCATCCACCTGGGGTGCTGTCTTTTAACGTTGTTTGTGAAAATTACTGGTCATTAAGTGCAGAGGCAGAGAAATCCGGTGGGACATTTTTCATTATTATCAATACACAGTATGTTGTAACTATCATATTTTGTTTGTTTTATTTTATTTTACGGTATATCAACCTCAATGGGTCATTTAATGCCGACAAGATTTTTATTGCTGGTAATGTATGTTCTTTTTAAAAAATATACTGCTGGTAATATTTTGCATTTTCAAAAATCTATTGTAAGTAATACTTTTTTTTCTTAAAAAAATGTATTGCTGGTATTAAAACCTATACACTCTCATAGTGTTTTAACCCCAGTTTGGTGGTTAACTATTTGCCCATAGCTGGGACCCTAACAGGTGCTACTACCTTGAGACCTAGGAACACCAGCAATTAAGAGGTGGTTCTACGCTCCTCAAAACCCCCTGATCAGAGGCCTGGCTACCGGATGTAATTCATCAGGTGGGACGGTGTATTTTGAAGCCCTAGTCGACAGGGAATATTATAAATTAAATAAAAACAACTTTCAAGCTTATAATTGTTCAGTATTTCATTTGTTTCGAGATAGTTGCCTTTGATGTCAATTGACACCAAAAACAGTATACACAGCAAACAGTTGCTTCAAGGGAAGTAACTACGTATTTTTATGGAATTATTATCTACCTTGGAAACCGCGCCTAATATTAAAAATTATTTTGTCCTAAAACAGACATAAAGTCAAGATTTTTGATAAATGTAAATTATATTTTAAAAACAATTGTTTGGAAATAACAATCAGTAATTATTTTTAATAAATAAATTAATAACGAAGATAACAAATGGTAAATAGTTTCTTTTGATGAAAAATAAATTTAGTCAAATATTAAATTAATATTTATCAATATTTAATTCTGTTGAAAAGGAATCTAATCTCACAATTTGCCAATGTTTGTGGAAGAAATAAATGATACTACCGAAAACTGAAGTCAGTATAATGCAGAAACATGGATACATATTTTGTATCAGGGAAAAACGTCGAAGTTCAACTAAGTAAAAACCAGAAATTGGAATGCTATTAGGCTAGTAGAGTCAGTCATTAAAAAAAGTCTATTACTGACAGATGGGCAATTTGCCCATCTCTATATAGTAGAGAGACTTATGATGACATAAAAAATGAAATATATATATATATATATATATATATATATATATATATATATATATATATATATATATATATACGTGTGTGTGTGTGTGTGTTGGAAAAATATATAAAAATATTTATATACCAGAACAATGTTAGGAAAATAAATAAAAAAGTGGAAATTATTTTTCGTGCGACGTGTGGTGTCACTCATATCATACCAGCAGAGATAGCCTCGTGTTTACGGGGAATAAAAACATACTTCACAGAATAAAACATACACAGAAATAACACTAACAGTAAAAGCATGTTAAATTGTAAATTAAAATTATACGATTTACTTATATTTTTGTGTGTCGATGTGTATTTTTTGTTACAAGTATTTTTAAGTTTGCATGTGATAAAAGAAAGAAATGACTTCATCCAATAATGGACATAAAAGAAAGGTTGGACGTCTTAAGTGTCCAAAGTTTGATAGCGAAAAGAATGAGT